CTGTGGCCCTCCAGATGTTCTTGGCCTTCAACTCCCAGAAATCCTGGCCAGCAGAGGTGGTGGTGAAGGCTTCTGGGAGTTGAAGTCCAAGAACATCTGGAGGGCCACAGTTCAACACCACTGCGAGTAATTGAGTCTAGTCTAAGTCTAACCCCCAAGATGTTGCTGGACTACAAATCCCATCATCCCCAACCACTGGCTCCGCTGGCTGAAGGTGGTGAGAAGTTGAGAACTACATCCAGGTGGTAGAAGAATCTTCTAAACCAGAGGTGGGCAAAGTGTGCCCCCCTCCGGTTACCTCTCTTTCCGAGGCCTATTTTTGTTGTTGTTTAGTCATTTAGTCGTGTCCAGCTCTTCGTGACCCCGTGGACCAGAGCACGCCAGGCCCTCCTGTCTTCCACTGCCTCCCGGAGTTGGGTCAAATTCATGTTGGTCGCTTCAGTGACACTGTCCAACCATCTCATCCTCTAATTAATAGGCTTTTAAAAGGAAACAGTTTTAACAACTATGTTCTCATGCCAAGGAGGACAACATAACCTCCCTTCCCCCCCACCACATTAATTTATATTACTGTAATCAAATGATAAAAGGGGGAACGCCAGATTCTCCACACACAAAATTTAAAAAACCCATGAAGATGTAATACCTTTACTGGGCCACGAAAATAGGTGGGCTTTCCAAGTCTAGTAAAACGATGCTTCTAGACCAGTGGCTCCCAGCCGTGGGTCCCCAGATGTTCTTGGACTAAAACTCCCAGAAGCCTTCACTACTAACTGTACTGGCCAGGATTTCTGGGAGTTGTAGTCCAAGATCTTCTGGGGAACCAAGGTTGAGAACCACCGCTGGACTGGTGAAATCTGGTAACTCGAGCTGATTCAATGTGCTTTCAGCCTCTATCTTAGGATATAAATCTGAACCTGCCCCTGCAACAACTGGTTCGGATGATTTGGGGACTTTTCTGTTTCTCCTCAGACACCTACATGCCCAGCCTGAAGAAGGGTCTTGCTGGACTGAGAAGTTCATCTGTTTTTATTACTGTAGTAATTAAATTCAAAGCACATTACCACAATCTCTCAAGACTGAAGGAAGCCTAATCAGTAATTAAATAAAAGTGTTCTTCATCCCTGTCTTTGGGTTTTAGTTTTACCAGACACAGGTTCAAAGAAGGCTTTTCTCTCAGGCCTGCTAATTTCAGAGGCATAGCTAGTGAGGATAAGAGATAGGGCTTTTTTGGTGGCAGCTCTGAGACTGTGGAACTCCCTCCCACAGGAAGCCCAGCTGGCTCCCTCCAGCAGGCCAAAACCTTCCTCTTCAGGCACATTTTTAGTAAGCAACTGGCAGCCAAGGATGGGCTTTGTTATGGGCTTTCCCCCCGCCCCCATACGTGTTTAAGTGGTTTTAACATTTTGTTCATCTGATACTTTGAACACGCAGGCCGATAGTTTCTTAATATTTTAATTTATTGAAGTTTCTCTTTGAAATACAGTATTTTGTAAGCTGCCTTGCATCTCTCTCTTGAGAGAAACATGAGGCATAAATAACATGCATGCACTCTGCTACATTAGCTTTTTTTGTATGCTGAAACAATGTACTCTGTTATAGTTATATATTATCACTCAGTATGATTTCCCCTGCTCTTCAATTATAATTGCAGGGCAGTTTACGGAAGGAACCACTCTATAGAATGTGGTACATCGCTCCAGATTGATTGATTGATTACGGTTGTATCCCATTTTCTGCCCACGTAATCCTGGCTGGCACGTGGCTCTCCTTTTTGATCCTCAGAAACATCGGACCCTCCATACCTCTCAGAAGATCTCTCCTGTCAAACAGGCACTAATCCCATCTGTTCTTTTGCAGTCCAGGATGCCAAAAACAATAACGCCTGCAGAGGGAATAAACTTTCAGCTGAGGTTCACCAGGCATCTTCCCTCGTGGTCTTTAAGAAGTCAATAAAAATGAAACTATTTACAGCTGCCTTTTATTAGTTATCATAACTGTGATGCCCAATGTTTTAAATTACTTATTTATTTAAAGGACAGGTTAGCTAGTCAATGGTTTTATTTATCAATTGTCTGGATTTGTCAATTTGTATTTGTATACTGTTTGTATAAAGATACTTAAGTATCTGGCTGTGGAGCTGGAGATTGGGGATTTGATTCCCCCACTGCGCATCCTGCGTATAGAGCCAGCCTGGGTGGCCAGAGGAAGGAAATGGTAAACCACCTCTGAGTATTCTCTGCCTAGAAATCACTGAAAAGTGTCACCGTAAGTCGAAATTAATGGCACATTATTATTATTGTTGTTGTTATTCAAAAATACCAGATGCAGCCATTCAAAATTGTAAAAACACTGGTATTATATAACAGATACAAGTTTTAACCAAAAACCTAAGTATCTTTTAAATATCGGTGCAGTGTATGTGCTGTTCCTAATGTTGCTGTCTTTTGTAGCTCTGATGGTGTTATTTCTGAGATCTGCAACTGCTTATAATACTATGTGAAATTTCTTGATATTATTTCCAAAGCCCCATAGACTACAGGGACCACCGAAGTGTGTTTCATGCACAAGCAAGATGTTTCACTTCCCAGGTCTCTGTATTTTGTTAGTTTTTCTGATTCTTTATTTTCAACTCTGACATCCCCTGGAATTGCAATGTCAATGGATCCAGACCTTTCTTCATTCTGTTAATACTACGCCTGGTGAGTTGTGGTTCAAGGTGTCTGTCCGCTTGGATCCAGAACTTGACTTCCTCATTTTCTGACACCTTGTCTACCTGATGTTCCCATGGGTTTTTGGAGGCTGCAAAGTTATATATATATGTTTTTTGCATAATGACTGATGAATTAATTTTGACACTCTATCATTTTTTAATTTTGTAATCTGTTTGTGCAATCCTTGGACATTCGCAGATGAGATGTGACACAGTGGCATCATCAGCATCGTTGTTGTTGTTGTTGTTGTTGTTGTTGTTGTTGTTGCTGTATGCTTTGCTGTAAATTGCCCAGAGAGAGTGTGTTGCACTATGTGGTGTTATATATGTTTAAACGAAAAGAGGGAGAATGACTGGCCCAAGGCAGAGCTTGTGAAGTTCACGAAGATGCCTTCCCTGTGTTCCTCCCCTACCTCTAAGCACACAACGAAATCAAGGAGGACATCTGAATCCCCCTCTTGAATAGCTGCCATCCACTTACTGGAAAGTCATGGCTCCTGCTTCCAAGGAGCACCGGTTTGGCGAATGGTCCCCGAGCTTCCGGAAAAGCTGTTTGGCTTGATTGTGATATTCTTGGAAGTTCCGGTTTGACTGTGAAGGAAAGAACTCTGTGTTGTCTGTCCTGCATGCAGGTAGAGCCCGTCAAAATAGCCACCTGTAGCTCCTGGCATAAGCCAGGGCCGGAACTCAGGGGGAAAAAAATCCAATTTTATGCACTTCAGCTCTCAGAATTGCCCAAAAGGAAATGTAGTACAGAAAAAAAAAGAAAAAAGAAGGAATTTTCTCATTACTGGTGCAGAACCAGTAATATCTTTGAATAGTACAGGTTTGTAGTATTCTATGAACGTCAGCATGGCATACTGGCTACAGGATTAGACTGGGCCTTAGGATATTTTTCATTAAATTCCCCATTGAACCATGAAACTCAATCACAATCTCTCAGGCTGGCCTACTTCACAGGGTTGTTATGAAACTAAAGTAGAGAGGAGGGAAGTGATACGCACCGCTTTTCAGGCGAAGAAAATAATTACAACTAAAGGGAATAAATACATGAACATATGATACTGGTGGGTGGATTAAATTTATATCTTGTCTTTCCACTAAAAAGGCAACATAGGCGACAGTTACAGGTATTTGTTTATTCACCTATTCAGTTTTATAGTACACACCCTTTTCTTCCTGGATACTGAGGGCAAATGAATGAATGAATGATCCGAAATACAATTCAGGCCGATTAAATATACATTTAAAAACAAGGCACAAGGAGAAAGTTATAGCCCAGTTATTGAGGTCCATATGATACTGGCGGATGGATAAAATTTATATTTTGTCTTTCCACTAAAAAAAGGCAACGTAGGCGATGAACAAGTTATTTGTTTATTCACCTATTCAGTTTTATAGTACAGTACACACCCTTTTTTCCTGGATAGTGAGGGCAAATGAATGAATGAATGATCCGAAATACAATTCAGGCCGATTAAATATACATTTAAAAACAAGGCACAAGGGGAAAGTTGTAGCCCAGTTATTGAGGTCCTATGGGGGTCACTTGTGGGTCAGTGCTGAAAAGAGGATTATCCGGGAAACCATTTTTATAAGACCCACAAACCCGCTCAGGGAGGCCTTACATGAGCCATATAGACTATCGCTTCAGTGGCCAGTCTTTAATATGGGAGTTATAAGATTAGCCCACATTCGGAAGCTCTTGGATGGCTGAGGTAAAGTGTCTGCAAAGCACTGAAAAATGCTCTGAAGCCAGAGGTCAGGAGTTCAATTCCCCACCGGGCCTCCCAAGAGAAAAGCCAGCCTGGGTAGCCCTGGACCACCTGCACCGTCCCACTACCGCCCGAGGAGAAGGGACTGGTAAACCATTTCTGTGTACATCGTGCCCCACTGGACATTACCCCGTTCTACAATGAATCCGCTTTACGTTGACGTTTTTGCAATCGCTTTTGCAATCACAAAATGATGTTTTAAATGGGGTCTTTTCGCTGTGCGATTATTGGTTCCCCTGCTTCGGGAACCAATTTTCGCTTTACAACAATCAGCAAACAGCTGATCATCGGGTTTCAAAATGGCTGCCGGCTGAAGAAAATGCCCCCCCCCCGCTGTTTTCTAGGACGGATTCCTCGCTTTACAGGCACCGAAAATGGCCGCCGTTTGGAGGATCTTCGCTGGACGAGCAGGTATTCAGCCCATTGGAACGCATTGAACAGTTTTCAATGGGTTTCAATGGGTTTAAATTTCGTTTGACGATGTTTTCGCTCTACAGCGGTTTCGCTGGAACGAATTAACATCATCAAGCGAGGCACCACTGTACTCTCTACCTGGAAAACCTTGGAAAGGGTCGTCAGAAGTCAGAATTGACTTAATGACACATGATTATATATATATGATATCCATCATCTGCCATCAAGTCAACTCAGTTCTCTATATATTTTCCCTTTACTGCTAATGTTCAGGTTTTGACTGACAATCTGTTATGCTTCAGAAAGGGCATCGCAGGAAGGCAATAATTACAGGCTTGGAGAAACCTCAATATTTGCCACGTCAGAAGTCAGAATTGACTTGATGACACATGATTATATATATATGATATCCATCATCTGCCATCAAGTCAACTCAGTTCTCTATATATTTTCCCTTTACTGCTAATGTTCAGGTTTTGACTGACAATCTGTTATGCTTCAGAAAGGGCATCGCAGGAAGGCAATAATTACAGGCTTGGAGAAACCTCAATATTTGCCAAAGAACTAAAAATACTTTGGAAGGGGGAGGGGAAAAAAAAGAATTCGGCAAACTCAAGCTTTTTTTTTCAAATACGAGTCATCTGGTCATGCTGCCTGGGGGATTCTGGAATTCATAGTCGAGGGGAAAAAAAGGGACATTTTCTACAATTGTGCTCAGAAGATATTAATCATGGCTGAAGCTCTTCAAATGGGAACCAAGGACGTTCACTTCTCATGAGGTGGACAGCCAGTATATCTTAACACCTGACTAGCACTGGATAGCTCAGGGGTTTAGGTCTCCGGTTGCTTGGCTGCAGAGACAGAGGTGGCGAGTTCAAATTCCCCACTGAGCCTCCTTCACAGGGGCTAGACTCCAGAATCCATAGGGTTATTTCCTGCAGTTCTAAGATTATTATTATTCTCACATAAAATATACAGTAGTAACCTTATGGACCACCGCTTATGAGTCCAGAAAGAGGAAAACTGGTTTAGCCTGCTTCTATATGTCTTTATATCAAGGGTTTGATTTTTCTTGATGTCAGAAGAGGAAGCTTTCCTCATACAGGAGCTAAGCAAACACGATCCTCTTGCTTCCTGCCGACTGTTGTCTTTCTACATTTATTATTTATTACCTTGATCATATCCCAGCTTTTCTCTGAGGCACTTAAAGCAGCACCCAAAGACCATCCCTTTCCATTTTAATTTTCATAACACCCCTATGAGGTAGGTCAGAGGCTGGGGGGGGGGGCTTGGGACATCACCGAGTA